AAATAAAAAAAAAGTCAAATAATTTCTGACCACACGATGCATGATAAATGGTTAAGATGTAAGGATCCTTAGGATCCCCGACCTCTCGGCCATCTCATTTTAATATTTTTTATTTAATATTAGTTAATTATCAATCCCATGCCTAATAGAGTGCTTAACAATGAAATTTGTTTAATTAGTAGTTGCTAAACACAATAAATTATTGAAAGAAATGAAGAGGAAGAGCTTTTTGTTTTGGACTAAACTGGCCCTATATGTTTGTCAAAATATCAGATTTGTTGCCCCCACCCCAAAAACACACAAAGTCAAATTCCTTTGATGTTAACTGTTTGTTTTGACCAAACAAATAGTAAACTTACCACGATATTTCCCCTAGCCCTTCCGTCGATCGATGATTTGCTCCTGTCAATTCACATCCACTCTCCATTTTGCCTTCTCTTCATTCAATTTGGTCTTCAAGTTTACATAATCATTTTTTTTCTTTTAAAACAGAAAAAGATTCGGCGAGATTAGTTTTTGAACAATGATTGTGTGCGAGGTAGCTACTTTCTCCTAAATGAGTGAGGACCATTACACCCAACTCCTCTCATGTCCCTCCTCCATCAAATTTATTGATAATAAATAAAAGTAAACGAAAATATACAAGCGGAGGACTATACCAATACCTGCAAAGACAAAGACAATCAACCAAAATGATAATAAAGACAAAATGAAATGTCAAGAGCATGAAGAGAGGCTACAAAATCTGAAATCGTAGACCACTAATAATAAGCATAACTAATTGCTCTAAATGAAGCTAAAACATGAACAACAAACATAATCAAATGCATCAATTTACTCTTAAACTGTCAAATTTATATCATGTTCAGCTAGTGTTCCTCTTCCTCATTTAAAAAAATAATCATTATTTGAACGGAAATATGACTGATTTGACGGTATGTAAAAAACTTAGGAGGAGGATTCTCTCCGGATCCATTTTGTGGGGATCCTAGAGATCCCCACATCTTAGTCATTTATTGTATATCGTGCGGTTAGTTTTCATTAAGTACTATTTGTGTTTAATTTTAAATAAAAAAAAGTCAAATAATTTATAACCGCACGATGCATGATAAATTGTTAAGATGTGGGGATCCCTAGGATCCCCACAATTTGGATCCGGATGGGATCCAAATCCGAAAACTAACACTTTTTTTTTTATTTTTATTTTTAATAGATTAAAGAGGTTTATAATTTGAAAGTATTAAAAGTAAATTAAAACACTATACTAATTTTACGGAACATTGCCAAATTTTCCCTTATTGTTAATAGGCTCATGGGCCTTTCTACATTTTTTTTTTTATTTAAAGAAAAAGGAGACCAGCTGGTAGATTTGTCAGGGCAGTTTACTTTTTTGAGTGTAGGGAAGACTTACATAAACATTTCAGCCTCATTGGCCACTATCGTGTGATTCACCCAACGCTAAAAATCAAACCCAAGATGTATAATGTAGAATTCGGACTTGAATTCGACATCAATCACTGAACCACCTTATGGTGATTTTTCTCTATCATGTTCTAATCCATGATGATGTCTCTAGAGCCCAGAAGGGGTTGAGAATTTTTGTTTGGTCAAAAAGAATGTGTGCGCATGATTTCTCTTCAATTGCACATTACATTATACATGTCAAAGATATGGATCTTTCTGTTTGGATATAAGTCAATGGTTGGATTCCACAAAATTGATGGTGAGTTTATGACTTTTGGGGTTGTATAGCCATTCCTAATCATTAATTTAGGGCCAGAGACTAAGATAAATAAAATACAAAAAATGTGTTTAGTTCATGAATTAACAATTTATTTGGGTTGAGGTTTTCAATGTCAGGGATGTTCTTTTTAGGTATATATTTTTTTTCTAAAATTGTTGATAATCTATTGATAAGAAAAATACGATTACATCACATTTATAAAAAGGGTGTCGATTGAGCACAGATTAACAATATATAGTTTTTGTCATGAATACTCGTTGTTGGAGATTAAACAGTTGTTATCTTTAAAGTACACCTTTAAAATTAAATTTCCTTAAGTTTTCTCAAGACGTCTTTTTTTATTTTTTTCCATTACACAATTAAACAAATTCCTACCAGTTAGTAATACGGTTTAGTGGTCATCACTTGTAAGTAGAAGATATTAAGTTCGACTTTAGTTGATAGCGAGTTTGATATTAATTATTATGGTTGGTTCATGTGTGGCGTAATCCAATATCTCACAAATATATTGTTTATTAAAAAGTAGTAAAAAAATTCTTAATTTTCAAAGACCAACTTTTGTTCTGTGCAGTTCATTTTTATGAGCGAGCGGTTGAGATTTAACAAAATATAATTTAGTTAAATGATTAAATCTCAACTTTTCTCTATTGTCTTTTAATGCGTTGGAGAGCAAAGCTCGACCTACTAGATATTCGACGATCCAATGAACTGATCCAGTTAGGCCCAATTCATTAAATACCGATCGGGCCACAGACAAATCCAGCGGGCCCATAAACGCCTATTACCATGTCTCTCACAACAAGAACAGAGCTTCTACAACAACAAAAAAATGCCGAAGACTCCCAAAAGAAAGCAGGTGGAGGCTGAGCAGAAGCCAAAATCCGCAACCAAATCAGCCAAAACCGCCAATCCCTTCAAAGCGACGGCAAAGGACCCGTACCCGAATCACCCCCGACCCACCCGAGAAGAATGCTTGTCCATACGCGACGACCTCTTGGCCTGCCACGGCTTCCCGGAAGAGTTCGCCGAGTACAGAAAGCAGAGACTGATGGCTCTTGAAACCGACGGCGCCATGAATTCAGAGCCGTCAGATCGGAAAGAGAGTGTTTTGGATGGGTTGGTGAGGACTCTGTTGTCGCAGAACACCACGGAAGTCAATTCCCAAAAGGCTTTTGCTTCTCTCAAATCAGCTTTTCCGACTTGGGAAGATGTAAGCTTTCTGCTTTCCCTTTGAGCTTTTGATGGTTTTGGAATTCTGGGTGTGATTGCATTTAGGAGATAATGGTGGGATTGTACGCTTTTGGAGCTAATATTTGATGGGTTCTGTTTGTTGTGGTTAATTTTCTCGTCTTTTGGTTTATTGGGTTCTTGGAGACTTTGCTGGTTTGAACTGCTCGCAGAGAGCACTTTTAGTGCTTCTATTAGAAGTGCTTTTATTGTAAACGTGTGGGCATTTTTTATAAAAGTGGAAGTTCTTTCTGGAGAAGCACTTCCATATACACACTGGCTCTTAAACTAGTTTCCCTATAATTTCATCTACTTTGAAGTATTTAGGACTTCATTAAGTTGGTTCACCATTTAAAAGTTTCGAACATATGTTTTGGGTTTGTGGTAAGTGAGATTGCAATTTAAATTGCCTGCATTGATTTTGAATTGTCTGCATTGATTTTGAATTGTCTGCATTGATTTTGAATTGTGTGCTTTGATTTTCCGATCAAGGTTCTTGGTGCTGATTCAAATTCCATAGAGAATGCCATACGATGTGGAGGCCTAGCCAGGACTAAAACGTCGTGTATTAAGAACATGTTGAGGTGTTTACAGGAGAAGAAAGAAAAGTTGTGCTTGGAGTACTTGAGAGAGTTGTCAGTTGACGAAATTAAGTGCGAGCTATCTTGTTTCAAGGGAATCGGTCCGAAGACGGTAAGCTTTCTCTTCATCTGTTAGCATTGAGCTGCTTTGCTATGCAGTTACATGCTTTACATTCAATTCATTCTGTTGTAGTTAATTGTTCTTTTAGCTCATCGCTAATGTAGTGATAAATTAAATGCTCTCAACACCTTCATCATGTGCTTTCTTTAAATATCGCTCAAACGCAGATAAACATGAGAAAAACCATAACAGCTCTCTTCTTCCGTATCATCTAAGCCTCGATATAAGCCATAATCTACATTTCTATTTTGTTTTATGTTGTTGTATGAGTTGATAAATATAGAGTATACACTCTCTTAAATGGCTTTAGATAACACTAGTGAAATGGATGATAGGTGGCTTGTGTTTTGATGTTCCAGCTTCAGCAAGACGATTTTCCGGTGGACACGCATGTGAGTTAGTATGATGGTTCAAATACTTTACCATCATATACATTTATGCATTTTTTTTCGAGTTTTGGCATTCAATTTGGTAAATGCAGGTGTTCGAGATTGCAAAGGCTATTGGTTGGGTGCCAGCTGAAGCGGACAGGAATAAGACGTATCTTCATCTCAACCAATGGATCCCAAACGAACTCAAATTTGACCTCAACTGCCTTCTGTATACTCACGGCAAGCTCTGCCGCAAATGCATCAAGAAAGGGGATAGCCAGCAAGGAAAGGAATCCCATGATAACTCCTGTCCTTTATTACGTTACTGTCAGTAAATTGTAGAAGTTGCAATGTGTTGCCTTCGTCTAGGGACAAAATGTTAAACTACGGGAAGCGGAATTCAAATACGGAAAGTTGGGTGCATGGGTGAATGCTTTTAATCAACTAAGCTACAAGTCATTTGCGACAAAATGTTTAGTTTAACCTCCCCTTGTAATTTCTGATTAAAAAATCCTTATTATAATTTATTTGGAGGAGAAAAAATTCCCAAATATCACATAATCATCAATATATCTTTGTGATCATCGCCATGATACATAAAAGTTTATTGGTGTGCCGGGTATATTGTCTGGTATAGATATATAATGTGTTATAAGCGAATTTTTTAGTGTGTGGGAAGCACTTGTCTGTACAACAAGTGTCATAATGCAAGTGATTGAATTTTTTTTCATTTTTTCCAAATATCCAACCACTTACATTTTGACACTTTGACCCTGAAAATCTTTCGAGTTATAAAATTACTGTATACATAAACCACAATCCTCAATTAGAGTACTGTATGTGTTAGAAAATAGGAAGTTTTAGTGAAACACTCTTGATACTGTTCACTTTTAACGAAAAACCATATTTTTACCTTTCTCCTGGTACTATTCACTACACTTTTATTTGTCATTTTTCATTAAAACTAAATTTTTTTGAACTTTTTGTAAATTTTCCCTAGAAAATATGACAAACTCCCAAATATGATATAATCATCCATATATCTTCATTATCATCACCATGATACATAAAAATTTATATAATATGACAAATTGAATAAAAAAAAAAAATTATTCCCTCACTTTTACTCTCCGGTGAATTTAATCCGTGGCTAATGACATCTCGTGACGATAATGTTTTTCTTCAACATTAAGCGTTAATCGAGTTAAACGCATCACACCTGTGCCTGACCTCACCTTTACGTCCAGTCTTAATTCCATGATGGCTAAGCTTCTCCATAGCATGAGAAAAAGCTTTGAAAAAGGCAGCCTGGTCCGTCGAGTACAACTCCACAAAAGGTCTCGTCCTCGGGTCCTTAACAAGTGCATGATCCGTAGCCAACAACCCCAGCCCTCTCTTCAGATTCTGATAATACATGTTATCGAACTTGCCGGGCGTAATCACATCGTTGAAAGCGGACATGGCGATGTTCGTTTTGTAGTCTGCACAAATTTTCTTGAGCCCTTGAGCATAGTTTGGGTACATGTCAGGATCTGTTGGTGTAGTTTTGTTGTAATTGAAAATCCGGTCGGTGAATTCTTTGCAGTGAGAGAATCCAATTGTGTGTGCACCGGATAAAGCCACCATTTCTTGGAGTGTGAAGCCTTTTGTAGCGAAGAATTTGATCATGTCGTCTAGGGTTTGGTTGCTTCTTGGGAGATTTCCTTCCACTAGTGAAGATTTGGAAACCTGTCCGTCTTTCCGTCCCAAGCGGACTTTGTAGAACGGACCGCCGACCATCGTGACGAGGTTGCGGGTGGCTAAGGCGAGTATATCGGAGCAGGAGACAATGCCGGGGCAGGCGAGCTCGAGGGCGGTCTTGGCACGTGCCACGAGGTCAAAGGCGTCTGCCGAGAGGGATTGGTTGATGTCGGCGTCACGCTCTGCAGTGTTAACGTAGTTGGAGGAGATGAGGATGGAAGCGTCGCAGCCTTCAACCATGCAGTCGTGGAAGAAGAGGCGGAGAGTGCCTGCCGCGGTGGTGGGATTGGCGATTTGTTTTGAAGTCACGGTGTCACGGACAATGCTCTCGAAGTCGGGGCATGTTTTTTTGTAGTAGTCTATGGAGAGCTTGGATTCGGAGAAGGGAATGGCGAGGAAGAGTAGGAAGAGGATTGGAAGAGCCATGGATTGAGAGATAGCTAGCTAGAGAGGGGGAGAAATGATTTGGTGTGTTGTTAATAATGTCATAGAAAATCAAACATGGGTAGGAGAAAAGTGAGACAATTTTGAAGAACTTTGAGGGAAACTTGTTTTGTTTTGCTGAATGAATGAAGAACTACGAATAAGGCTGGAAATTTATACATGATAGTCCAACAGTTCTATGAGGTGTGTACAACAACTAACAAGTAACAACTTTGAGCTCGATCGACGATTCTTAACTGAATAGAAGTATCTATTAAGCAACTTGTCAGTTAGAACTACTACCCGGTTTAGTTGGCAATAGCTAGCCTTCTACAGGCTTATATTAATTCGATTCAGTTTTATTCAACCCTAATATGCTTCCTGCAACCCCACATCCAATTTTTGTTCCCAAAAGTTTCCATTTTCCCTTGGAAATCATAAGATCACACATAGCAATGGCAAGCATGAATTGTGAAATGGGTGATAGGCAGCTATGTGTCTTGTGTTTTGATGTTCCGACTTCAGAAAGATGACTTTCCGGTGGACACACCACGGTACTTATTGCCATACATAATTGATGCGATTCTTTTGAGGCTCAAATCTTCAATAAGCAGGTGTTTGAGGTTGCAAAGGCTTTGGGTTCCTGTAAGTACACATATTAAGCTGTTTTATATTTCTCAAGATTTCATCACAACTCCTCGAAAGCTATCTCAAAATCACATTGTAATGTATAAATACTCAAATATCGTATACTCATGTCATCTGGCCGAATACCATGTCGCATGGATTGTCTTCGTATGCTGCTGCTTTGGCCATATTCGTATCTGCTCCATTCAATCCGGCATTGCCATGTCCATCATCGCTGGGGGTCACCGTACGTCCGGTTATTCAGAGAGTCGTTCAGTTTCCCATCATCTATGTTATCTCAATCTTCCGCCTCACCTTGCCTCGTCATGTTGAACTGCTTAACTTTGTTGGGCGGACTTTCCGCCTCCCCCGTAACAACAGCCAGTTTCTTTGATAACTTTCTGCCGCTCAGTTTTTTCCCTCAGTTGGGCACACACTAGGTGAAACTTTGTTTCCATGTTATATTTATGGTTGCGAAGTTTTTCTTTCAAATCGGCAATTTCACTCTTCATAATTTTGAGGGATCGAAGATCCCTTGTTTGGTATTTAATCTGAAAAAAATATGATGTTTCCCTGCATGCCTCTCTATAAATTTGATCGCAAAGGCTTTTTCCTGATAATTATTTGATCATAGCAGACAATTACTTAACATTTGAGGTGACATATATAGTTGTCAATTGATTTGAGAGATCTAGAATCCAACTCATTCATCATAACTCCTAGAACACTATCTCATGTCACATTGTATAATGTATGAATACTCAAATATCATATAATCATGAACATATGAACCATCCTTATTTCATCATCATCATCATGTCACAGATCGAAACAAATAAGAAAAGAATGAAAAATAAAATTAAAACAGAAAGATTTGTGAAAACTCTCTCCCTTGTTTCTGTATTGATGAATTAAAACAGAAAGAAAAAACTCTCTCTCCAATGTTTCTGTAGTGACGAATTAAAACAGAAAGATTTGTGAAAACTCTCTCGTGTTTCTGTAGTGATGAATTAAAGCAGAAAGATTTGTGAAACCTCTCCTCTCATTTCACTGTCATCTTCTTCTTCTTCTTCTCTTCTTCACCTCATCCTTAATGAATATATAATCTAAGCCTGAAGCGAGTTAAATGTGTCGCACCTGCGCCTCACCTCTCCCTGATTCCCTGTCTTAATCTCATGACGTCCAAGCTTCTCCATTGCAAGAGAGAAAGCCTTGAAAAATGCCGCCTGGTCAGTAGAGTACAACTCCACAAGAGGCTTCGTCCTCGGGTCCTTAACAAGTGCATGGTCCGATGCCAACAGCCCCAAACCCCTCTTCAGATTTTGATAGTACATGTTATCGAATTTTCCTGGTGTAATCACGTCGTTGAAGGCGGACATCGCAGGATTAGTTGTGTAGTTAGCGCATGTCATCTTCAAGGCTTCGGCGAATCTAGGGTTGATTTCTGGGTCTGTTGGAGTAGTCTTGCTGTAATGGAAAAGCCTGTCAGTGAACTCGATGCAATGAGAGAACCCAATTGTGTGTCCACCACTTAAAGCAACCATTTCTTCAATTGTGAAACCCTTAGCGGCGAAGAATTTGATGATGTCATCCATGGTTTGGTTTGCTCTTGGCAAGTTTGCGTTAACCTTGGAGGCAAGGGAAGCCTGTCCATCTTTTCGTCCCAACTCGACGATGTAGAAAGGCCCACCAACCATCGTGACAAGGTCACGTGTGGCCTCGGCGAGAATGTCTGCGCACGAGACAATCCCCGGGCAGGTAAGCTCTAGGGCGGTCTTGGCGCGGACGACCACCTCAAGCGCATCTCCTGACAGGGATTGGTTGATGTCAGCATCGCGCTCAGCTTTGTTGACATGGTTGGAGGCAATGAGAACGGAGGCGTCACATCCTTCAACCATGCAGTCGTGGAAGAAGAGGCGGAGAGTTCCTGCAGCGGTAGTTGGTTGGGCGGCTTGCTTTTGGGACGCGGTGTCTCTGACAATCTTCTCAAAGTCTGGACATGTTTGCTTGTAGTAATCCTTGGTGAGTTGCGATTCGGAGAAGGGAATGGAGAAGAAGAGAAGCAGTAGTATAGGAATAGCCATGTTGTTGGTGGAAGAGAGGGAGATAGAGAGACGATGACGATGACGATGACGATGACGACGATAGAGGAAGATCTCAGGGCTTGTGATGAGACCTGCTTCTTCCTCTGAGAATTTCCTGAATGGAAGTTGGAAAGAGAAGGCAAATTATGTATAGTAGGTTTCAGAAAAAAATGGAGGAAAGGGGAAGAAGGGGGGTGCGTGTTTGATTTGTGGATGGGAGGGGTTGTAGGGGATTTGATGTGTTGTTACTACAACCACCGTGCATGCAAAGGAAGGGTTGATAGAAAAAAGAACTGTTTAAATTAGTTTGCGTACTATTTTTGCATGGAATTGTTGTTGGATTTGACAATTGAGTGTGCATGTGGTTTTTTGTCTGCTATTTTTGCACTGCATGTGGTTTTGGTTTTTTTATTTGAGCGAGGAGTGCGTTATACCAGAGAGAACAGCCATGCAAACGATCGTAGAGTCATGCATGCAGCCTCCAATTCGTTGTTGAATGACATATGATTGTTGTCAAGATTGTATCCGTACAACATAAATCGAAAATAACTGCTCTACAGTTTAATCATTCGATTACTTGTGAAGAAAACATGAAATACAGAATATACCTACATAAATATATGATGGAGACATCAATCAATCATCTCAATCAAAACTTTGAGCTTGTTTGGATGAACTTTTAAAATGACTGAAAGCGTTTTTAGTGAAAATGTTTTTGGAACTAATTATTAATGAAAATGCAAGTTATCTTGAAAAAACACTTGAAGTGCTTTTAGAACAATTCTCCAAAAACGCTTTTATTTATTTTAAAAGTATTTCCAAACAAATCTTATATATTTATTCAATTTCAGCATCAACTTAATTGTATGGTGATATTACCTAGGCTAACGATGTTGTTATAGAAATGTCTCAAGAGATGATCTATAAAGTAAAAAGTGTCAATCATACTCATGTGGTGGAGTTCTTTACCAATTTAATTAGGGTAAGCTACATTTTATACTTTTAAATTTAGTTACAATTACAACCTCATAAAACGTGTTTAATACATTTTAATTTCATACATTCAGTTATTAATCCATTTCAATTGAGCAGTCGGGCCTTTCTATTTTGTCTCAAGCCCAAGTTGGTTGGTTGTTTAATAGCCCATAATGGAGCTGTGACTATCTAGGGTTAAAGGGCAGCAGCTCCTTTATATAAGGCAGCGGCTGCTCTATTGGAAGAAAAAGCAAGAAATGCTTCCATTTGTTGGTAATAACTCATATAAAGATATTGGTGCTATTTTTTGTGGCTTTTGGAGAGAAAAGATTTGGTATGTATTTTTATCTTTTCTATTTGTATTTTTTTGAGTGAGAACTAGTAGGTGTACATAGGATTTGGGATTTGAGAGTTAAACTCTATCCAGAATCTTTATTCTGATTATTAATGGAATTTCCTTGCCGTTTTCGAACTAGACGTAGGCTTACGCAGAATCAGTATAAATATTTGTGTCATTTGAATTGTTTATCATGTCATATTTTTCAGTATTAATTTATTAGTTTCATATTTGATGATTCTGCACACCAGTATCTGATACAATATCTATGTTTTGTTGTTTCCCTCCTTTCAGGTTTTATCACGCATATGACAACTACATGGTCCATGCATTTCGGGTTAGTTTTTGTTCATTATTTCGTGTAGGTTTTGCACTTCCGTTTGTATGATATTAAAACTGCATTCTTTGCCGCACGATGAGCTAAAGCCGCTTAATAAAAGTTTCACCGACTCTCTTAATGATTCCGTACCGAAATCTAAATGTGGTGTATTATTCTGTGTTCCATCACATTGAAAAATCTCTAGAAAATAGAGATTATATTCACACACTCCAAATTACTTCTCCCACACTTTTATTTTTTAATATTTTTTGACACACCACTAACACTTGTAGAAAAATATTAAAATATTAAAAGGATATGTGAGAAGTAACTTGTGATGTGTGAATATAATCTCTCTAGCGAAAATTCTAAACCGTACTGTTTCTACACTGAAAAAAGGCTTGAATCAAAATCTTGTCACGTTGGGGACTGGAAATCTAACAGATCTTGAACAATTAAGTACAGAATTAGGCCTCACATATGCATTTGTTCGGTAATCCTGAACTAAACCAGAACATATTATAATATATATATATATATATATATATTTCTTTTTCTTTTTTAATTTTAAATTAAGATTTAGGAATTATGTTGGCCATCGGATTGGTATCTCAACCATCCAATTTCAATTTCTCAATCTCTCTTAGTTTTTCACATTCATGGCGTCACATAATTGATTCTTCTGGAACCCTCTCTCATTTCTCTCGAGTTCTCGACTCTTGCCTCTCTTCCGCCCACCTACTCCGACTCTCAACTACA